TGTGTGTGTGTGTGTGTGTGTGTGTGTATATATATATATATATATATATATATATATATATATATATATATATATATATATATATATATATATATATATTCTTTTTATCCTCTATTATGTTAATGGTGTTTCTTTTGTAATTTCCTTCCCTTGATTCAGCCACAAGGTGTGCACTTAACTTTTGGAAGTTCCGCTATATAACTGTTCAATTTGCACTTAACTTCCTGTTTCAACCTACTTTATGCCTTCCTTTCTTTGGTAACTTTCTGTTACTTATGCTCTTTTGGATGTATCTCTGTTGTCCATGTGAAAGGTCTTGTGGCTCTTGCAGTTTTTCTGTAGTCAGTTACATGACTTCTATTTATTAGTAACCTTATATGTTAACTTTTCTTCTCTTGTAGTTATAGATTCTATCCTTCTTGTTCTTTATGCATTAAACAATAAGATAATCTTGTAAATTAAAACATTCAGAATTGCAACTTGCAACATGTTTGTAGTTAATTTTGAACTGAGGAAGTCGGCTTGTACTTACTCTATTGGATAAATGGTGGACATTTTATTAATCCATTATCCTTTCAGTGAGAGAGAAATGAAAGATGGCTAATTTTGTAGTCAGTTCCCTTTGTTTTTAAGATCAATATTCCACCTTTGATGGAAGTGGCTTATTATCAAAATCTTCTCTCTCTTCCTTATGGGTGGCTCCTAGGTATAACTCAAAGGTGTCATATCCAACACTATAGAAAGAAAAAATAAATTGATAAAAGATTTCTCTTAATTATAGAATTAACAAATGTTGGTACAGCTTGTTCCTTCTCAATGATATTGAACACTGGTTTAACAGAACTTCAAGAATGAAGACAACCATATCAACGGATTGGAACATAGATGTATCTCAACTGCAATGTCTTTAGGACTTACAATGTTGTTCTTAGGTAGCTAGCTTCGTACTCATCGCCCTTTTGATGTTAGTGGAGAACTGATAGATGCCAAATGTCTCCACAATGAGGCCAAAAAGAAAACTGAGGCTTACAACATTTGAAGGTTCATATGTAGTCTTGGTCCTTTTTTTGCTTAATCCTTTATTTTAGTCCCTTAAATAGACCAGAAAAGCTATGTTCCAGTTATCGTTATGTTATGATGATAATGTTGCATATGAATAGAGATGGGCTTATTCATTGCAGTGATGACTATGCCCTTTATTTGAATGGTATCAGATCTAATCTCCAATAGAATATTTTACAAATAGATCAGTGATTTAAATAGGCGCCCAAGCGCTCGCCTAGGCGCTCGGGCTAGGCGAGGCCCGAGCGCCTCGTGGGTGGACTAGGCGGCGTGCTTCAATGAGGTATCACTTGGGTGCTCCATTGAACCTAGGTGTCGGGCGCCTCGGGTGAGCACTCGGTTCAAATAAACGCCTAGCCCGAGCGCCTCGTGGGTGGACTAGGCGACGTGCTTCAGTGAGGTATCACTTGGGTGCTCCATTGCCTAGCCCGAGCGCCTCGTGGGTGGACTAGGCGGCGTGCTTCAGTGAGGTATCACTTGGGTGCTCCATTGAACCTAGGTGTCGGGCGCCTCGGGTGAGCACTCGGTTCAAATAAAGCAACCAAATCAGACTTTTAAGTTTGGTTCGGTTCAACAGTGGTTAGTTGGTTCGATTGAATCAACTAACCAATTTCTTACCCGTAAAAGCTACCCTTGCATGCCCATGCGACCTCGAGCCAACCCTAGCGCTGCTTCTACCTCCGTCGTTGATGCTTTTTACCATTGCCTCTACCGTAGACATAGCGGATTGAGCCTTCCTTTATCTCCAGCGGACAAGTCCGACGTTTTAACAAGAGCCCGTAGCTTCCTTCCACTATCGCTCTGTGTGTAGTTCCTTCCATTGTTGAGGGAGAGGACCTTAGGTTCCTTCACCCCCGATGGACGCCGTTTGGAGCTTCTGTCGCTACTGTTGTCCGCAGCTTCCGCCGCTGCCACTGCTGCTGCTGTTGTCTGTAGCTTTCCCCGCTATCACTCATAGCTTTCGCAGCTACTGCGACTGTCTTAAGCTGAATCCTCCGCTGCTGTTGTTGTCGTGCGCAGCTTCCTTCATCACCGCTGCCTTCTCCTTCCCCACTTTTTACTGTCGGTGATACTTTTATCCCCCTCTGCTATTGTTAACAGTTCTTTTTTCCTCTTTAACTACTGTTAACAGTAAATAATATATTGTTAACAGTAGACTGTTAACTGCTGTACTAAGTAATCTTTATTTACTAGATTGATAATATACTATTTAGATTTTAACACTGCTAATATTTGTTTATTTAAAATTATTAGATCATTTTAATTTAATGTCATATTTTTATTTATATAATCATATTTATCAATTATATTATATATTTTTTATATTTTAATATTTCAGAGCGTCTCGCTTCGCTCGGGCGAGCGCCTAGTGCCTCAGGCATTTTGGGACCTTAGCGTCTTTTGGCGCATAGTGCTTTTTAGATCATTGAAGCAGATCAATGGTTTAGTCATTGACCCATAATTATATTAAAATTCGGTCTGATTATGCTGATTCTGGTGTGGTTCTTCTTATCTGTCAGGCTGAAGAGCAACCTTATCAGATTATGTTGTGACCATATTTGGGTCTTGATAACTCGGCATATTAGTGACCTTAGCATAGGCATTATATACATTCAACAACCCCTTTTCAATAATGATTCTTTATCAAAGCTTTGCTATTCATTTCCTCTTTAGACATCTCTCTTACTAATCTTTTCTCCATTTCTGTCTTAAAGACAAAATGATTATCAATCTGTTTTATTATCAAACTGTTGGATTATAATATAGGATTGATCCTATTTTCATGGATGTACTGCCCTCATAATGATGCATAGTTGCTAAAAGAAGCATTATAGGATTGTTCCTATTTTCATGGATGTACTCCCACCCTCATAATGATGCACGGTTGCTTAAAGAAGCATGATTCATTTAGAGGCCTGTTCTGCAACTTATGGAACAGAGGTTCTGCTTTCACAAATAGTATGCTGGACAAAAGTTCTGAACTCAGAACATTTATCTTTTCTGACTGCAGTATGTTTCTCTGCTGTTGCATTTACTCTGTATCCTTGTTTCTTTCTGGTTGATGTTCTGTAAATTTTCTCCCTGTTTTCTGTCATTTGGAATTTTACTCAAATGGAGATTCCTATGAGTTATTTTTACAATTTCAAATATGTAACCTTGTTAGGACATTGTCTTCAAATGCTCTTTTAACACCTCTAACAAGAAAGTTTACATTTCAATGTACTGCAAAACAGCAAAAGTACTATTCTTTTTAAAATCTGCACATAAAATTGCTGTCTGGGGCTCTATTTGTGTATATCTTCTTAATTTGCATCCTCTGCTATTAAGCTCAACTTACTGCCATTGGTTTATGTCGGTTTCAACTGTAGGCATCAACATCTTAATTACAAAATGACTTCAGGAGATGAAGTTGAAGATATGTTTGTTTTATTAAATGAAGTTAAAAAGCAGATTCCCTCTATCACAGCAGTTTCTTCAGGTGCAATTGCATCAGATTATCAGAGATTGCGAGTGGAGAGTGTTTGTTCAAGGTTAGGCCTCGTGTCTCTGGCTTATTTGTGGAAACAAGATCAAACTTTACTCCTTGAGGAAATGGTAATCTTTGCATTGCTCGTAAGTTTGTGAATGAATCTTTATATCAATGAATTTTTACATGCAAAATTTCACCTGTTGCTAACTGGTTTTCTCCCCTGCTGGTTTTTATCAGATAGAAAGGGGCATTATAGCTATCACTATTAAGGTACTGGAAGCTGTATTTTGCATTCGATGCTATTAACTGATTTGCAATCTGTTAACTGTTCTATGTTAAATGACTTGTGATCTGTGGCTGAAATTTCAAGATCTGGTCCCTATGTTTTATCTTATCATGATAGATCTGAATCTAATCCTCACTTCTTGAGAAAAGACCTGCTTTGATATCTGATCCTTGTGCAGTAGAAGTCAATATACTTACCTCATCATGATGGATCTAAATGTAATCCTCAGTCTCTAGAAAGGATCTGCATTGTTATTTTCTCCTTGTCCACTAAAAAAGTTGATAAAGATGAGGTATGGAGATCAGTTCTTCCAGATTTATGGAATGATAACTCCCACTGTTAAAAAATGTAAACTAGCTGGGAGGTAAATAATGATAAAAGAAAGGGGAGGTGTTGCAGCTAGGGTCTTGGCATCAGATGAGTAGAAAATTCTTTTACTTCTTCCTTCTTGCTTAAGTGTATTGAGATTCAATTCTTTATGTAATTTGGGCTCATTGAATAGTTGAATATTCATTGGGATTCATATACTTAGTCTTTATGTATATTTCTATTCGACTTGTTTAAATATGGAATGGATGATTAGGATAGTGTCAAACTTGCTCAACTTCTGTTTTTCCTGTTTGTAAGTACGCAGAAGAAGATTGTGACCCATTTTTAACCTTATTTATTAAATTGGAAAACCAAGTCTTTTTATTCACATTTAAGCTTGCATATGTTGAGGATAAGTAAGAAAAAGGAACTAACATGAGTCTTCATTTACATCACCCTAGGTGACATGTATTATTAGTCTTTGGTGATTCAAATGAGTTATTTTAATAGAGTGATTCTAGCTATTTGTTAGTTTCTGTTGCATTGAGCATGTTATCTTTATAATATCTCTTAGACAATCTGATCACTAAAACAAACACGAACACTTGAGAAAGATGGAATCTGGTAAACAATAGTCATCGTACGGTTAAATTAGTATACTACCGGTCTTATGTTGACAGAAAATGGAATCAAATTTGATGAGATAGGAAAATGTCTGTCCATTAACAGGAAGAAGTCTAATTATATTTACTTTAATAATTCATAAATCTTTTCCTGCTGTCTCAAAATGACATTCTCTTTGCCTATTTTGTATCAGACATTTTCTGAATCTATTCTGTATGTTAGGTTGCACTTTGAAACATCTCAAACAAGTTATGTCCCTAGCGCAGAAACTTAACTATGATAGTTTGTTTTGATGCATTGATTTGTTTGTCACACAGGTCGCAGCTATGGGGTTGAATCCTGCAAAGCATTTAGGACGAGAACTTGCAGATCTGATACCGTATCTGCTCCAAATTAAAGAGTATGTCAGGGCCCATCATCATTAGTGACTGTTGATTTATTGAGCAGTGAGAAATAACTTTGCAGAATCTTAATTTAAGTTGATTTTGGTCTAAAATGGATGAAATTTCAGCACATAAATGAACTATTACTACAAGAAGCTACGAGATTTAAAGCAGTAAGTTGCAGAGTAACATTCATCAACCATTTAAAATTCAATTTAGATATGATTAGGATGATTGAGATATTGAATAACAATGACAGATTGTTTTTTAGTTCTTTCAACATACACTTGGACATTGTTGTGCTGAAACTAGACTTGCATTTGGATTGATCTACTTCTGTTTTATAGTTGCTCTTTAAAGTACTAATCCATGACTATGTTTTATTATCATTTATCATGCTGTTCAACCTCCAGAAAGATGTGTCCTTTTATTTACTAGTGATGCGGTTTTGTGTAGAATAATTGATTTTGTCAAATTTGTCTTGCTAGTGAAGAAATTGGTTTATCTCTATACAATAATATTGAATCTCTCCTTTTGGATAGATTATGTGGTATAAATGTCTGTGGCGAAGGAGGAGAATATGAAACACTAACACTTGACTGCCCTCTCTTTAAAGTGAGTTCTCAATTCCAAATCATGTTTCTGCACATTATCTGTTTATGTAGCTTGTTATCTGTACATAATTCAACTCTGTCATGTTGACATGCAAATATGTGCACACAAAGATGCATTCCCAATAACCAGCTTTGATCACATTAGAATCATCTTGGAATTTATCAATGACTTTGTTATTGTCACGCCCTGAGCTGACCTAACTCATTCTGGAGAAGATCAGTCCGTGCATGAACAAAATCCTTTTTCACAGGACTGTATAATTTTTTTAAAAATTAATACATTTGTTACAATAATGATAATTACCAAATCCATCTTTACCATGAATATCCCCTATCTCTCGCTCCAGATACCATGCTACCTTCAAACAAATTTATAGTTTCTTTTGTTTTTTGAGCACAAATGTCTAGTAGAGAGTAGGATAGAGTTCAAAGGAAGCATGTAGCAATATGCTAAATCAATGTCAACAATTACAAGGGTCTATGTCATGCATGAGCACAGCATCAACAAACAAGATTTACAGATTAACAGGAGTATACTTGTATAGCATTAGTATACTCACAATAAATGATTCAGAAATGCCACAAAAAGCAATCATATCAATAATACATAAGGCACACTTATTCAAACATTTACTTCAATTGCATATCATGAAATAATAGTATTCTAAGAAAGAACACATCATGTTTGATGCACATCACATAAGAAGGATCAAATCCATATCACACATCATATTGCTTTCTCTTTTTTTTTCTTTGTTCTTCCTTTCATATCACATGTCATACTATATACATAATAATCCCTTATTCACAAATAAAATAAAAATAATTATAGAATTCAAGTACGTACTAAACCTGAGGGAACCAGCTCCACCTTGTGGACAACATCCTTGGTGGACATCCTACTTGTTGGGTCATGGGTTTACACCCAAGGGTACATTTCTTACATGATGATAGTATGTCACCGTTGTTCACATAATATTCATGAAACTTAATTCATTTTAACATAAGTATTCTTTCTAGTTCTCTTGCTAAGGCTATCACCGGGTAAAACATACTATCCCATTATCTGTCTTGGTGGACTTAAATGCAATCCCTTTGTTGATCAAAATGTTTACTATTGGAATCTGCAATGGGGTATAAGCCTGTGGTAAGAGAACTATCAAGAACCTAAATTGAAATTGAAATTATATATATAATAAATACAACTGCTCAATCACTTGTCTCATGTCAACACTGCACCATTATACATCTTTAAGGAAAACCAAATCATGGTTAATGATTTTTGATACATGACATAAAACTAAAAAATTAATTATTTGACTATACTGAATCTCATAACACAAGTCATATAAGAATTCACCATAGCACATGTCAATAAAACAATATTTATACTTTAAACACGATTCGTCATAGTCAATTGATCGATTAAATGTATGCCTGGTAAAAAAATAAATAGCATGGCAATATCAAGTCTCGAGACACTGAATCATAACTTATGAAATTCCTACATGACATTAAATTAATAATTAACCACAATAGATGCTATAACACATGAAATATACATACTCATTATTTTACAAAATAAATCTATTATTTCAAACATAAAAATTCTACATGCAACAAAATATATGCTTAAACTTAGTGCTTAAAAAGATTTAAGGGTTATGTGTTACTTCAATCCATGTTTCTATTTTACTTATTAAAGTTAATCATTAACCAGGAATTTATTCAAACTTATTCTAACTTAATTATCTACTTCCTATTTCATTCAATTATATGCACTATAAATACTCATGCAATTAAATCTTGTATTGCCTACTAATCATAATCAATCTCTCAATTTAATTAACAAAATATCTAGTTATATATTTTTGAGGCATATCATTACAAATGTGACACTTATTCATATCATATTGGGATTGTTTAGTAAATTTGATTTACCTAACCAACATGTAATATTCATCACATGTCATTTTATTACATAATCAATATCCTTACCCATACACATGCACACATTTTAAACCTATAACCTTTTTTTTCAACTCATGGTGCTTTTGCTTAGTTAGTCTATACAAGATTCTCCTTAATTCTGTGAGTTTAACATGTAATAAATTAGTCATGATGCATCCTAATATAGAGCTAGCAAGAGACGACAAAAGATAGGTGGGTTGTGAGAATCAAACATATATATTCCTGTTATCCACAATTAATGGGCTCTAGGAGACCTTCTTTTATAATAACGATTTAATTATCCAAGAGGGTGAATACTCTTTTTATTACTTACTATTTCCTGCTCATAATTAGATACTTTTTTTTGAAGTCATTTGATCCATCTTTCTTTTTTTTAAATTTATATGTTTGTAACTTGTTTCCCACAAATGTCCCTTCTTGCACATTAACCCATGTTCTATTTTTAGTATCATTTCTTTTTCACTCAAATTGTAAATTCCTTAGCAATGTATCCTCTGTTTGATATGTACCTCAACCAAGTATCATCTTCCAGGTTCAAACAAATTTTTGATAAACTTTAAAATGATACATACAAATTTTTGATAATCTTGAGTTCCAGGCTTAATTATCTTTCTTCTTATAATTAACTAGAGATTTTTTTTATTCATCATTACTAAAATCGTATTGACTAATTCCTTTAATCTGATCTATATTCTTTCCCTAATTTATCATGTATATTTTAATTAAAACCAATAATATTCTGCCAAGTTATTTACTAGTAGGTTCAGGCAGTTTGTATAAGTTAATGTCACTGTCATAAATTAACTTGCTACTGACATTAAGCTCACTGTATCACACTACATTAGTCATATTACATTAAAATAAGCACCAGTTGAATTCAATTCTCATATGTTACATCTTCTCATTATATGTATTAGTGATAAAGCTTCTAAGACAAATCCTTATATTTTGAACGATCGTTGGAGTAAGATTCTATGATCCATATGAGATGAAATGAGACGTACAAGTTGTGAATAGGCCCAAAACCTGAATCAAGATCATGTATACCTGTCATTCTCTCATGGGTCAACATATCATAAGTTGAAGTTTCTCTCACTAACCACCTTTAATTGCATATGCAGTCTACCATACTCTTTAGGAAGTTATGGGTTGGAGTTATATGCATGTGTTCAATGACGTGCATGTTTGAGCATATCAAAACATATGGGCTTAGTGGCTGCAAACATGTTTAGGCTTAGGAGCACTTTGTGGTTGGAAGTATGGGTGAGACTTCTGCAAACTTGTAGTGGCTGACCTCTTTGTGGTTGTCTTGCTATAGGTTTGCTTCTCTCCTTTGTTTTTGTTTTTTTGTTTTAACACTCAAGATACTATAATCTAATCCCGTTAATAGAGGTGAAAAATGACTTGGTGAAACAATCTTGAACCTCAACTAATATCATAGGCATAAGAAACAATGAAAACAGTTAAATCTTTGACAAATTTTCACTTCTATTCATTTAAAATATAACCCAATCAATATCATGATCACAATCTTTTATTTTAAAAAATGATTAAAATAATGCCTGCTGATAGAAGAGAAATAAGAATATAGAATATCAAAAAAGATCTCTGCATCTTATGATCATGAGATAGGAAAAACAAAGGATAGGAAGGAAAACCAAGGATTTGAATCTCTATATCTTATAATCATAAGACGGAAAAACAAAGGATTTAGATCCCTACCTTGGACTTTTGTAGGTCATCGCCCTAGCTACTCCTCTCTTTCCTCAAGGGCTGCTCTCTTTCCCACGGGAGGAGGGAGATGGCGGCTATAAAATAAAGGGGGAGAGGGATCAACCCTAACCCTAAGTTTGCTTATGTAATAAAATTACCAATCTACCCCTTATTAAAATTAGGGTATTACAGTTATAGATTTCTTTGTTTTTGTGAACAAGTGCTGGAAATTTGGACTTGTGAAATTAAACCTCTTATGTGCTCTTGTAAATCTGTCATTAACTAGGAAAGAAGTAGGCTTAAGGTTTTTTGTTCAATTTTAGGGGTTAGCAAATCTATTTGTCATTAACTGGCAATTTTAGGAAAGAAGTAGGCTTAAGATTCTTTCTTTATGTATTGTGTATATACTAGAACTAGTCTGACATGTATAAATTTCAGAATGCTAGGATTTTTCTTGACAAGTTTGAGGTGATTCTGCACTCACCAGATAACATTGCACCTGTTGGTTTCCTTCATCCCTTGGCTTTCCATCTTCAACATAAGATGGAGCCTCTGTCTTCCGGCAGTTGTGACATTGGTTCAGGCAAGGTGGGATATGTATGTGAAGTACAAGGAGATTCTACACCAGATCATATGGTGCAGTCTCTTTCTGCGTGCTCTCAGCTTGGTAATTGTACAACTAAGAACCTGAACTTGTGCATCTCAAGAGGCAGCAGGGACAAGTTTTCTATTGGTTGTTGGATTCAGAATGTCTCTAAGACTTTAGATGGTTAGAGTGCTTTACCTTTTTTGTTTTGATACTCTCAATGGAAGTTCCATTGCTCACAACTATATTGGCAGGCTTGCAGGAAGATCTCATTTCTGTTCTTGGAAAAATTGAATTGAAACTAAACGAAGATGGCTTTGATTGGCTGAACGTTATATACATTCACCTCTACATTTCCAATATGAAGGATTTTACATTGGCTAATGAAGTGTATGTGAAGTTTATCACAGAGAAGAAATGCTTCTTGGGTGTCCCATCTAGAAGTACAATTGAACTGCCATTGGTGCAGGTTGGCCTGGGTAATGCCTTCGTTGAAGTCTTAGTAGCCAATGATCACAGCAAAAGAGTTCTACATGTACAAAGTATCTCATGCTGGGCACCTAGTTGCATTGGTCCATACAGCCAGGTAGAGTTCTCATTCAGTTGAATGTTCAGTTCATCAAAGCTCAGAACTGATTGTAAGTTCCTTGTGATTGCACTGACCAGCCAATCCTGAGCAGAGCATATAATCTTGCGGGAATTTTTTTAGTGTCGATGAAATGTATTTTTGTATTAAGATGTTCCGTAAGTTTATCTATGTTTCTTATTGTCCTTGGTTGATGAAATCTCTTAAAATGTTTGTAGATATGCAGTTCATCGAAATCTCATCTGATACTGAAACATGATGTGTTTAGATCTCAAAGGTTATATATTGAAAATGAACAATAAGCTTATTTCACTTTGCCGTGATTAGGTAGGCGCATATTCCTGGTAGGATTTAAGATAGACACTGAAAGTAGTTTCTCATGTACTTGAGCTCCTCATTGTTATTCTTGCAGACTTCATTTGATTATATTTACTGGTCCATAGACCCTGCTTCTATATTAAGCTGTTTACAATCTGAAGCAAGCTCAGTAAACATTCGCTGGTTGCTTACATATACACTCAATTATTTAGACACATTGTTGGTAATCTTCTTGTGACTTGATATCATTTGATATGTTTTTTTTTTTACACGAAATTTAGTCCCAGTTACGATAATAACAGCCTTGTCCTATAATGTCCTTAAGAAAAAGATATTATAAATTAAGAACCTATAATAGAGTTTTGTTCAACATTATAAATTTGCTGATGATTGGAGAACATCCAAGTAGCCCAGCTGTTGACAAGTAAAAAATGTGAGATCCTATGCTTGACTTTTGTCAAATTCCATGGGACTCCTTAGATCTTTATTTCTTGTACCTTTGAATGTTTACTTCATTCATATTTGTGCTCTAATTGGTATACACTTTGGTGATTATCATGTGATCACAGAGGTTGGATCACTGGCATTACAATAGCACTTCTACTATTATCAACATGATGAAATAAAGATCCACTGGTTAAAATACCATCACTAGTTGGCATATGAAAAACCAATTTTCATGACTCAAGGTTGCTGCTAACAGTTATGTTTAGACTGACTCCCTATTCATGCATCTTAAGAATTAGTCATACTAAAGAAGATAGCTGTTACTAAAACTTGCCATGATCTATTATGCAAGGTATGCAGTTTCGAATAATACCGTCCGTACCGGGTGGTACGTACCGGTCCGTCAACTGACCAGTACACGGACCGCTCGTTACCGGATGATATATATATATATATATATATATATATATAATTTTTTTATTATTTTTTAAAGGCGATGTCGTCGAAAAAAGGTGACGTCGTGTCACCTTAGCGATGTCGCCCGAAGAAGGAAAAAAAAATATTTTAAAGGTGACGTTACGTTGCCTTTTATAAAAATAATTTATAT